CATTAAAATTCACCAAATCGACCTTCAGTATAATGAGTGAATAATTTATTCAATAGAATATACTCTAAATAATAACAAAGTTACATTCACCTATCACTGAACAGCTTTAGCAAGAGGTCAGATTCTCAAAATGTTTTTCTGTATCATAAATTGGAATAAATGGGTTTTTTAATGTAGTGTTTGATCAAGATGTGTGTACATTTATATTGAAATGATTAACTTGTGTTACACCTAAGTCACATGCAGTGCCTCAATGGCATTGAATTGAAAGAAATTTAAGGAGTATATTGATTATAACGGAGGACCTGGTGTGCAGCATATGGCACTGAGATGTACAGATATAATAACGACAATCCAGAAAATGCGTCGAAGAGGAGTGGAGTTCTTGACGATACCGTCTAGTTATTACGATGAACTGGAGCAACGATTGAGTCATTCTAAGATTCATCTTGAGGAGGACATTAAGAAAGTTAGTGTTCAACTGAACCATGCTCATTTCTCATGCACAGCGTTATTTATACTCAATTACATGGACAGCGCTAACTGAATGATTTAATTGGATGATTACAAATGTATCGTCATTTCCGTCAAAAGAAAGTTCTCCCTGCAAAGGTTATCTTCAGCTAGCGTGATGTATATTCCATACAATCTCGATAGAAATTGTCAAGTGTTGGTGAAAGATATCTCAATTGATGGATATAGGATTCAAAACGGTCTCTAGTCTCCCTAAGAAAGTCTATAACCAATGAATCTGTCTTTTTACTCTGCACTGCTTATGAGTGAACATCACGAGATATTCGTCAAGTTATGAAGCACACGAAAACTGTTTATTTATTATTTGATAACATAATTCTTTGCATGAAGTGAATATTTTTGTTTGTGTGATTCAGTTGTGCTCTATTTCTACAATACAATATCAAGCACTTAATAACAACGACGATGTTTGCAGTTACGTGAACTGAATATTCTGGTGGATTTCGACGATAACGGTTATCTACTGCAAATATTCACGCAACCTATGCAAGACAGACCAACTCTTTTCTTGGAGGTCATTCAACGAAATAACTTCAACGTGAGTCAACTCAAAACAATTTTGATTAACTGCAAACTCATTATGAGCGTGTTTAAATTGTCACAAATATTTTGGTTGTTGTGTTACGTTGTGATCGGAAAAACGAGTTTAGCAATCATTACATAGCACTTGATAACAGATACAGCTCATGAATAGAGACCGATTACTGATAATGACGACTAATTTTATAGGGATTCGGTGCCGGTAACTTCAAGGCATTATTCGAAGCAGTTGAACGAGAACAAGCCAAAAGAGGAACTTTGATAGTCGATGATTTCTCGAACGGATATTAGTGTTTTTGAGGCATTTGTTCAGCTGTCAAGCAAAAATCCATAAATGCTTTCAATGAATTCGCCTGTGTTCCTATACAATAATATCTTATCGTTATTATAAAATAAAGAATTTCTTCGTAATGTTTCCATCTTAAACGTTATATTCATTTGGATTGTTCGCTAGTTTTCATCAAAGCGTTTAGTTTACTGTGATATTGGTGGCTAATGTTTGGATTTTGTGCGACTGTTTCATTGTTGCAAAAGTTTTCCTCACTACAAATCATATAGAAACAATTAAAAAGATCTTCGATGTTTGAAGTGTTCCATTCGAATTTGATATCGTTTGCAGTCGTTGTTTGCACTTTGTACTGATCACTTATCAGTGAACGAGTTATTTGGGGTACTTTTCGATAAGTCATCTCATAGAATACAATTATTTGCAATCATAAAATTGCAAAACTTAAGAATCTCATGCATTAGCAATAGCCGAAAAGAAGTGTTCACAATTATACTTTTACGAGCGATTAGCATTTTGGCGTTACTTCCGCACTCGATCTAAGATCGTTATCCCGCTTGTCCAAGAAAAAAAATATCAAGCAAACGACAGCATAGTAATAAATTATCGTTGATTTGCACTGATAAGCCTTATCAGTTCGACAGTTAGTACATTATCGCACGTTGATTGCTTTACTTCTTTACGTATATGTCCTTTGCATGATTGTTTATTTGTTTGCTATTGAATTTATTCGTTGACGATGTTTGACGTTTCATGTGCGATTGATTCCGATAAACTCGTTGCGTACAAAAGAATATGGCCACAACTATTTTATAAAACTGTACCAGCACAGTCACGGTTCTGAATATTTCAGCAGAAATTCAAATTCTCTGTTCTGATGTTTTCAAATTCTTGCTAATTGTGAATATTTCAGGGCAGCCGTTGTTCCGCTGATTCAAATATAGTAACTATTTGTGCCTTAAGTATATAATATATTATATCTAATTGAATTGTGTATTATATTTAATTAACACTCACAATTATTATCTTGAATTCTTTAACAAATCCAAAGCATGGCATCAACTGTAACTGTCAGGTAAATTGTCTTTATTAGTTTATATTTATTTATGTCTTTTTGAATTGGCTAAACGTTGATTCAGCGAATTTACGTCTCTTAAAGCAAGTAGATTGGATCATGAATGCATTGGCTCAGGATTGGATTCGACGTTGAATCCGTGAATGATATCGTGCTAAATAAGGAATCACTTTCCCGCTTGTCTAACGAATCGCTTCATGAGAAATAATTTGATCGAGAAATATCGAGAAATGATAATTGATAAGCAGTGATTCAGTATGAAACGCGATCGTATTCCACGAATGAATGATGCCATAAAATTCTGTAAGGACTTCACGGCTGGTGCAACGGCTGCCGTTATTGCAAAGACCATTATTGCACCAATTGAACGGGTTAAACTGATCCTTCAGGTGAGCAACCTCCTCGTATTCTGCGTTATCTGCTTAGTATAGTTTTCGATTTTGATCCTTTCATTTTTCAATTTCCAAGTTCAAGCTAACAGTAATGCAATGGCAATGGAACAGTGAGATATTACTCCAAATAAAATGTGCATTGTTTGATTTTATTCTTATTCGGTATCCGAAAAGATGTGAAATACAGTGGAAAATTGTAGCTTCAATCAGCCCAGCAAACAATCGAAGTTTCAAAACGATACAGGGGAATGGTCGACTGCTTTATTCGAGTGCCACGTGAGCAAGGTTTCTTGTCGTTTTGGCGTGGTAATATGGTCAACATTGCGAGAGCTTGTTCACAAGTAATACCTTTTCCATTAGTCTTTTATTTTCTCCTAATTTTTCACTATCCAACTTTAATATTGCATTAGAGTTCCAGTTCCTAGCTTTAATATGCCAATGAACTCGTTTGCTCTGTGCAGTTACGATATTGCTTCAAACATCCAGTGATTGAGAATCTTTTTTGATGATTTTATTGTAACCAATTACAGGAATCTCTTGGATTTGCATTCAAAGATTTCTTCAAAATTTGGTTTGCCACAAATTTGAGCAAAAAAGATTCATATTGGAAGGTTTTGTCAGGTTAGAATTTTGTCTTTCATGAAAGGATTACATTCATTATCCTTGTTTGGTAGCATTTTTTGTTTTGATACGCTTCTATTTCAGTAATTTTAAGTAATTTGATGTTACTGAATATATTTCTTTTCATGGTTCTTTGAGAGAAATTTTAAAATCATTAAGGTAACATTGCGGCTGGAGGTGCATCCGGCGTAGCAACATATTGTATCATATATCCGCTTGATTTTGTTCGAACAAGGTCTCTTGCTGTTTATATTTAGTCTTTTATTCTGTATTGGGTGAGCGACCAAGATTGAAGGATACGATTGTTAGAATATTTCAGGTTAGCAATTGATATGGGTAAGGAGAAATCGAGAGAGTTCGCAGGATTTTTTGATTGTATGCGGAAGATTTACAAATGCGATGGATTCCGTGGACTATATTAGTCAGTTTCTTTCCGCATTAATCTCGTTCACTCTTTTCAGTATTCATTTGTTTTGTTCTCAAGTGAACAGTTAAATGATGGTGAATTTTGATTTGACGAAAATTGGTTTTCCTGAATGTGATTCGAATAGTGAGTAGGGTAGTTTGAAGTGAATACATTTCTTGGAAACAATAGAACCTCACATAGCGTGACTGAGGTAATCGTGAAATTCAGAGTGATTAATTCATGTTTCTTTTAGTGGGTTTTGGCCATCTCTGCAATATATATTCCTATATCGTGGTGCATATTTTGGTCTGTTTGATTCGGCTAAAATTATGTTATCGAAAAAAGACAATCATCAAATCGGTTTTTTGACTGCCTTCATTGTTGGTCAAGTAAGTAAACATTTTATTGCTGCAAACTCACAGTTGCGATAATCGTTTGAAATTCTTATTATCACAATATGAATATCTGAGGTTATTGGACAGTAGAATTCATTGATTGATCACAAATTTTAGTTTGTGACCTTCACAGCTGCGTTTATCTCGTATCCTCATGATACTGTGAGACGAAGGCTGATGATGCAAGCCGGTAGAAGTGATACACTTTATCGTGGAGTGTGGCACTGCACAAAGGTGATATTTTACTGGCGTTATCGTGATTTCAGT